TTCCTTATTTACTGTACATGATCAAATTGAAATCTAAAAATATTGATACAAACGGTAATCGGTCCAAAAGACGTTTAGGGTATAAGCCGACAATTCTATTTGAATGACGACTGTTTACTGTAAGTGGAACGTCAATATTCCTTAAAATTCTTTGACATCTGTCAATTTGTGTCTATGTTCCTTGTTCCTTCAAAATCAAGACCCCGCAACTGCTGGAATCCTGCTGATTTAAATGTGGCAGACTGCTTACACTCCATTTCCTCTGGCTGGCCTTTTTTGTTTTCAGAAAGTTTCTGTGCAGTTGCAGAAATACTTACTTTAGGGGCATTGTAGCAAACAAAAAAGGTGCTTAAGAACAGATTGATTATGAATTAATTCACATCACCTCCAGTTTCGGAGAAGTCTTCTTTCATAAGCTTTCTCCCGGCCCATGGGGTCTATCATGACAATATTTCTGTGATCTGACCTGACAACCTGTTGGAAACCAGAAGTACATACTGTTACGGATTTGGCGAGGTTGGACCTAAAAGCATAGAAGTGTGAGATGAAGGATTTAAAGGGATTTATTTAGGTGTGACCACACACACACACACACACACACACTCCACATCTGGATGGGTGACAGAGGTATCTCTCAAGGTGAAAGCATTCAGTGGCATCTTGGATACTTCTCCCTTTCTTCTCCGGTTGAATATTATCACCTCACACAGCGTGATCTTGGCAAGTTCAGCCCAGTTCTTCTTTACAGCTTCTTCCTTCAGGTTCCTCTGGCACTCCATCCTTTTTGTCTCAAGATACTCGTGCATTTTCCTGACGTCTTCAGCAAAGGGAATAAGCTGAGGAGCATTCCACTTAGCCTCATTCAAAGTCCTAAGGGCATGGGAAGAGACACACTCGCTCCATCTGGTCTCACAGATCTGTTTGAAAATTCGCACATTGTGAATGGTATTCTCATCGCCTGAGATCATAGCCTCACATTCAAGAACATTTGCCACTTTCTTGAGGTTGTGACCCAATTTGAGTGCTAAAGATGGCGTTTTGAAGACATTTGTTCTTACATCCAAGCCAGCCACTTTCTTAACTGCATCTATTACATGAGGGAAGTTAGCTGGCACAAAGAAATCTGACAAGGTTTCCAACTTGCCATCTTTCTTTCCTTGCAGGACGACTCGTGCGGTTTCGCGCATCTTCTGTCGGATGTATTCATGTCTTGTAACATCTTGACCATGTTTGTTGAACAAATGTTCTCCAAATTTCAAGATGCACTTCTCACTTTGGACAACTTTTGCCACGTCATCCTGGTGCATGTCAAGTATTAGTTTCCAAAACTCTGCATTGACACTGTGTGGTACTGGCTCTGCATATTTGCAAATGGCTTGGACTCGAGATATTCCTGGCTTCAGTCCTTTGACTTTTTGACTGAGATAACACCTCTGCATATGCCTCCACAAGGATTTCCGCTCCTCGCAGTTGATGCAATGCAAGTAATCCCCTGCTTTTGCAGATTTGGTGGATTGTTGGCGGGGAATGAGCATTCCCTTTCCCTCTTTTATGACTTTATTATTATGGGCCCGGTTTCCATTGTTTCTTATCAAGGACAACTGCATCCGTCGTTCTCTAGACCCTTTCGGGCATTTCAGTGCACGTTCTACTTCTGGTATATCACTATGTTTTGATTCAAGATGACGTGCCATTTTGCTATAAGGTTTGCCACAAAATGCACAATAGTACCTTTTATTGTAAACCCTACTGCCATCTCCCTTCTTTTTCAAGGTCATGACTGTCACGTCAAGTGAAGAAGATTCTCCAGGATGTTTTGCATCAGTTGAAGAAGATTCTCCAGGATGTTTTGCATCAGTTGAAGAAGATTCTCCAGGATCTTTTGCGGTCAAGGAACTAGAAGTGGTCACACGCATTCTTTTAAGTGGTTGGACTTCCAGAGAAGAAGTATTTTTCTGGGCTCTTTTCTTTCTCTTCTTGAGATGTTCATCTGCTGAACTGTCACTGTCGTTTATACTGTCGCTCTCAGAGTCCTCTGAATCGGGAACATACTCCTCTTCGGTGATGTCCGAACTTGATAGAGATGCTTCTGAATAGTGAAGCATTTGTTTGTTTAGCTAAAAATTTTTTTTTTAAAAGAGAGAAATTACTTTCTGATTATTTCTCAAACATATAAATTAATTTGGGTCAAGTGTGGTGGAACAGGAAAACATCTGTGCAGGACACCAGCCTTTATAATCAGTTAAAATAAGTAGAAGTGAATCACTTGTTGGGAACCGGGGTTTTTGGGGGTTTCTTTTTTGCTGCTGTTTCACCCCTTATCCACCAGAGGGCGTCTAGAGGCGGATGTTTCTCTGGAGGTACGTGCCTTGGTTCAGCGCACCGGTGTTTAATCACCTCATCAGTCATGGAGCTTAAGAGGAGCGGACTACCAGCACTTCGTCGCTTGAGTGTTAGCCTATATGGTACTCTAAGCCCCTAGAGAGCTACACTATATTGCCAAAAGTATTTGCTCACCTGCCTTGACTCACATATGAGCTTAAGTGACATCCCGTTCCTAATCCATAGGGTTCAATATGACGTCGGTCCACCCTTTGCAGCTAGAACAGCTTCAACTCTTCTGGGAAGGCTGTCCACAAGGTTTAGGAGTGTGTTTATGGGAATTTTTGACCATTCTTCCAGAAGCGCATTTGTGAGGTCGCACACTGATGTTGGACGAGAAGGCCTGGCTCTCAGTCTCCGCTCTAATTCATCCCAAAGGTGTTCTATCGGGTTGAGGTCAGGACTCTGTGCAGGCCAGTCAAGTTCATCCACACCAGACTCTGTCATCCATGTCTTTATGGACCTTGCTTTGTGCACTGGTGCACAGTCATGTTGGAAGAGGAAGGGGCCAGCTCCAAACTGTTCCCACAAAGTTGGGAGCATGGAATTGTCCAAAATGTCTTGGTATGCTGAAGCATTCAGAGTTCCTTTCACTGGAACTAAGGGGCCAAGCCCAGCTCCTGAAAAACAACCCCACACCATAATCCCCCCTCCACCAAACTTTACACTTGGCACAATGCAGTCAGACAAGTACCGTTCTCCTGGCAACCGCCAAACCCAGACCCGTCCATCAGATTGCCAGATGGAGAAGCGCGATTCGTCACTCCAGAGAACGCGTCTCCACTGCTCTAGAGTCCAGTGGCGGCGTGCTTTACACCACCGCATCCGACGCTTTGCATTGCACTTGGTGATGTATGGCTTGGATGCAGCTGCTCGACCATGGAAACCCATTCCATGAAGCTCTCTGCGCACTGTTCTTGAGCTAATCTGAAGGCCACATGAAGTTTGGAGGTCTGTAGTGATTGACTCTGCAGAAAGTTGGCGACCTCTTCGCACTATGCGCGTCAGCATCCGCTGACCCCGCTCCGTCAGTTTACGTGGCCTACCACTTCGTGGCTGAGTTGCTGTCGTTCCCAAACACTTCCATTTTCTTATAATACAGCTGACAGTTGACTGTGGAATATTTAGGAGCGAGGAAATTTCACGACTGGATTTGTTGCACAGGTGGCATCCTATCACAGTTCCACGCTGGAATTCACTGAGCTCCTGAGAGCGACCCATTCTTTCACAAATGTTTGTAAAAACAGTCTGCATGCCTAGGTGCTTGAATTTATACACCTGTGGCCATGGAAGTGATTGGAACACCTGATTCCGATAATTTGGATGGGTGAGCAAATACTTTTGGCAATATAGTGTACCTCCGAGCCTTTCCAGAAAGATCCTCTGAGTAATCCCTCTCGTTGTCTTTCCTCCTGCAGCTATTCCTTCGTGACGCCAAGCGGCCTCCTTGAAGAATCCTTCCTGGTTTAACTCACCTCGAGACACCACCTCCCCCCCAGGCTGCCCGAGCCCCGTTCCCGTTCCTTCGGCCGGATCTCAAAGCCTCTTCCGGATTATTCGGCTGATTGTGGTCCCGCTCCTCGTCTGTCCTCCACCACTGAACCCACTGGCCGCTCTCTGCCGCACCCTCCTCCGATCCTCCTGGACGCCACTCAAAACTACTGTAAGCCCAGACCCGGTATCCACCGGAGTGCCCCCAGGACTGTCATCATCCATTCCCAAGTAAGATCGGTTACTACTCTCACAGCTCCCATTTCCGATTACCCCAGAACTTACCATTTCCCCTACTACGTCTCGGTGTGCCGACCTCACCAGAAGCCCTCTCCTGACAGTTCGTCGATCTGATCCACCGTATCTGCGTTTACATTAATAAACTATATTTTGCTGATCTCTGTTCTCCAGTGGTGTTTTGCATGTGGTTGAGAAAATTAGACCTCACCATGACATCACTGAGGTATTAAAAAATGTTTTGAAAATCAGAGAATTCTTAACAGGCCTGATTTCAGTCACCATCTATGATCCAGACATGTTAAACACAAAGTGCCAACTTGGATGGAAACATATTTTCAAGACAGAGCATTCCTCCCAAACTCAGTACGACAAGCTTACATCAAATAATCTTTTTCAAGCATTTCTCTGCATAACAACATTTTCGCCACTTCTCTACAGCGAAAATAACTTTCACCACTGTAGGATTTGTAAAGTATTTTTGAAAATACTGATGCACATGTTCATTGGTGAAGACGACTGGGCAGCAACTTTTCCAGACTTTAATTTAGAAAAATATTTAAATTAGCTATGCAGTATTAAGAGTACATGTGAGCTAGAATGAAACTGAAATACTGTCACATCCTTTGAACTTATTCATAGGAACACTTACCTTTTGCCTCTGCTCTGGTTCAAGCACAAATGTCTCATCTGCAGCTGAAATTTAAAAAGAAAAAAAGTTAATATCAACCTTAAAACAATTCAGACTCTGCATCTCCTATATTTGGCCTTCTCAAAATATTTGCGGGTCTTATCACTAGGTTACAAATGTTAAATATGGGATTAGAAATAAATATCCGACCTGCAGTATTCAATCATTTCAGCAATTCTTTAAAATTTCTAACTTTTTCAATTTATTACTCAAGATTGGAACAACTAGACTAAGGGGTTATTAAATAAAATTAGCAAAGTTATAGCAAGTCAACAATGATTTGTTGACTTGCAATGTTGAATGCAAAAATGCAAAAAGGAAAGCAGTTGACCTGGGTTCTACCAAAGCTTCCCCCCTAACACAAATCTCTATTTCCTTGGACATTTAGAAACAACTGGCATTTGAAGTAAAATCACCGACAGATGTGTTGAGCCTTTTCTTTAAGAAAAACCTGACTTAGTACTCTTAAAGCAAACATTAACTGATATTGTGGTAGCTTCTTCTAGGCAACTAAAATCGTGTAAAAAAAATTATAATTTTAATACACTTCTTGTCACACCTCCCTTTTCTCACCTGAACAGTTATAACTCACATTATATTGATTTAGTGGAAACAATAATACATAACAACTTAAATGTGGGGAAAAAACCTTGTGGGCTAATGCATCTTTCCCCGAAATAATTCACCTGTTGAACAGCTGGGTGTAGACTCCACTCCACCACTGCTATCACTGGATCTACTTGTCTGGTTGGCATTTTCCGGAAAAAATAAAAAAACATTCAATGATTATAAGTCAGTGTCAAAGGCCTAAAATTAATTTTCCAAAAGTTATGATGCTGAAGTTAGTTTCCAATTCAAACCTCCCGATTCATCCTAATATACCCCTCCCCACTCTTACA